ATATATATATATATATATATGTTTGCATTAACAGAACTTAGTGGTTATTCTACGACTCTTCTATTCTTCCCTAAACAAATGAACATAAGGTTCTATTTAGAGACGTTAGAAACATAAGTCTCTATATTGGTCTCCAAATCAGGCACAACAACCCTTTATGTTCTTTCAGATCGATTCTACGATTGCCTGAACCACTTGGCAGGCATTTGATCACACTATTTTAATACGCTGCAATAAAAACACATTTCTTAATCTTGTGGATAACAGCTTGTTTAATGTTATCTTTTGATCACTCGATCGAATTCTCGTCACCCCATAAACATTACCTCGCGTAGCAATTAATACCCAGACATGTAGAACGAGCGCTCGATCGATCTTGACCGATCGAATAATGATAAGAAGCTATAGAATCAAATGGAGCATTGATCCATGTCCACAGACAGAGATAAAACGACTTCGTCCTCCTCGCTAGGCCATTAGCGTTGAAGACATATACCCCAGAGTTCAATAAACTTGCACGCATAGTATCAGCAAGCTGTTTTTGCCTGAAATAACCCGATTCGGAAGTGTAGGCCTTGGGTGCGATTTATTGCCTGCGTTGCGTTTTTGTACCGACTTATTTGGATATTAAACGGAATTTGGCTAGTCGCTATCGAAGACATCGAAATCTCTTCTCACACAGAGTTAATAGCATCTGGACGAACCGATCAGATGGCACATTTACGGATTATTTTTACTTTACGAATTTTCTATCTCTAGTGGATACTTCTCCATCGTATTTTCTAAACGACCCAAAGGAAACGACGGCTCCAGGTGACTTATCCATAAGCGGTTCTAGCTGTTTAGTTTCTATTATACATAAAATGCTCAGTAGCACTTGTCAATCGCTGAGATAATAGTAGTAGTATCTGTTATTTTAGCAATCTCAGACGAATCAACCATAAGCCGTTGTGGAAGTTCTGAGGAAAGTGAGGCCACCTTCGCCCTTAGCTGAAGCAAAGCTAAGCAATATCCTAGAGTCAATAAGACCTATAAATTTCACTGACTGTTCGACACTGGAATTATACAGACAAGGAGACGTCATGTCTCGACTGAACAACGGACTTACGGTTGGTGTACACATTGAACGTTGCGGGATTTCAGAACTCGTAGCTGAACTTGTACGCACGAAGCATACAAAGCACTCCTCTGCGGAACGTGACGTTTAAGCCACGACAAAAAACGCAAGCTCCTCTGTGATTCAACAATAGCTATAGCTGAAATTCGCGTCGTACATCTCTTAAGGCCAATTACTGCGATGGTTCAAGCAACCGCCGCTTGTCAGGGGCACTTTGGAAAGCGATCAATAACACTGCGATGGACCCTATAATTTCATCTTATCCTGCCTAAGGCTTCGTTTGGCATATTTGGGAATAAAACGATAAAGAGGTTGCACGACCCGTTTCTCGTATCATTTCGCCCCTGGAATGTTTCACAATAATCTCCTTGAGCATTCAGTTCCTATGCGTTCTGAAGACCTAACGATCTACTCTAACAATTGTATCACTATAGTAGCTTCGGCGAACTTATCCAAAACCAGTCGACCGACCTTATTTCTTCGAGGTTAACAGCGTAGCCAGCCGGTTTAAGTATCACTCAAAAAAACGTTATCAAAACATTTTTCTTCTTTATACTTTTATTTAACCGGTACGACTGCTCACTGCGACAATATTTCGTGTCCGTCCTGTCGCTGATGCTCGTTGTGCTTGTTTCTCCTGTCATGTCTATGATCATCGGCGTCTTCTTTTGCTGTTGTTTCCATGAACGTTCCAGAGGGTGAGGATGACTCTAGTTCGTCTCAGCAGAGTGGCAGCGCGTACAATTCGCGGTGCGGAAGTGTCAGAGGTGGATGTGGCAACGGCAGCGGCGTTAATGGGGTCGGTGGCGTTGGTGCTGCTAGTGGTGGTATAGGTAAACGCCAGGCAGGTGGCGTTGGCGGCGGAGGCGCGGGCTCCCAGAGCGGCGCCCACGGCGCCCTCTCCGCCGGGGGGAACTCTCGCAGGCGGAGGACGACGCTGAGCGCGCGCGAACGGAACCTGCGCCGCCTGGAGTCCAACGAACGCGAACGAATGCGAATGCACTCCCTCAACGATGCCTTCCAGGTACATTTTATTGTACAAGTAGGCATAAAAATGATATGTAAAAGTTAGTAAGCATAAAAAGTTCTATGGGAAAGGGCTAAATCCGATCGGGGCTTTGCGAAAGCATAGATTCTCATTCTCTTTCCTTGTTGCCCTTTTGACGTGCTTTCCGCATGAGCTTATTTCAAGTAGGCCAATCTTCGTACTCATAGATCAAATAGTACAGGGTGCTTAGGGTGTCAGATAAATTTAACTAGCGTTTGGATACTGGTTTTCATATTTGTGTGTGCCAGGGGCAGGCTGATTTAATACTGGGCATTGCATTTTAAAACAAAGCGGCCGGAATCTGTATGGCATAACTGAGCAGCACGGTACAAACATGTATGCATAAAGCTTTTTATGGTAAGACAATGTCGGACGAATTCACACAGACCAGTAGCGAATTCAAGTATTCAATGTTCGTGTAAATAATGTAGGTTTGCCTTAATTTCCGGATACGATACTCGAATTATAGTTATATGCCAGAATTGATCGTCGTATACATAGTTAGATTTGTTGGAAATCAATAAAACAACATACCATTCTAGCAAATTATTGTTGAACTAATCAACAAACTCGTAAAAATGTAAACTTTCCCATGGAGCGTTGGATAAAGAAAGAACCGTATCATCTATTTATAAGCACATATCAGCATAAAGCAAACGAGATTGTTATCCCGAAAAGACAATTGGCGGCCTTTACCAATTCTGGGGTAATGACGCACCTTCCTTTCAGCAAGAACTCTCTCCTACACTTTATATGTACATATTAATTAAAGGACTACCCAACTACTTACGGCATTGACATTAGGCCAACGTGTGGCCTTGCCTAAGTTTTGTGGGTGTGCTCATAAAAGCCGATAGAAAGAACGGATGCTTCACAGAAATATGCCAGCCAACTGTACTACGTAACTCTGTTCTGCTGTGAAATTGGAAACAAGTGTCTGCGCTTGAAAAAGGGCCTTACTTTTTCGCTTTTCTTCCGATATACCAATCCGATACGTTAATTTCCGATATACCATTTGAAAGCGCTCCTCCCGCTCTATCGTATGCTATAGCATAATATTGTGTACAAGTGCAATTTTAACTTGAAAAATAACGAATGTTCCAGGTAGAAGAAGCGTCAATTTTTGATACCGTTGACATTTCCTCGAGACTAAAATGCTCTCGAAATAGCCTGGGACATTTACCTTATAAAAAGATCGCCCAGAAGTAGTTTGGCAAAATTGACAAAGAATCTAGAGAATGACCCGCGAGCTCACTGCCTATCAGAATTTTATGGCGACCTTCTGAAGGCACCTTCAAACTCGGGAGTCAGCCGAAAAAGTGGGCCACAGCGACACGGTTATCGTTAACCACCTCAAGTTCCTTGGGTTTACGCAAAAGCTTAAAGCTTGGGCTCCTGATAAACTTTCAACAAATCTAACAAAGAATTGCGGCTTAACGCTGCATCTCAACATTTCGTCTGGTGTCAAGCGTTACGGGGTCATAATAACCGATTTTTACACATGGCTCCCACTTGTCACAAGAGTTGTGTTCCGTACGTTAACATGCACAAAGATCGGAATTGGCGACCCTACGAGGCACGCCAAGGCCCGGACTCCTACCAGACCTTCATCCAAAAAAGTTTATCATTTGCGTTTGGTGGAACTGCAAGGGCTTGTTCTGCGAATAGCCTCTGGTGAATCAAGCAGTTGATCGACACTTCTATTTGGCCTAGTTGCATCGAAAAGAACAAATTACCCAAGAGAAAAAGCCCGACAAACGAGGTACAATCATCTTGCTTTATGACAACGCAAGGCCATACTTCACAAGTGTTGTGAAAATGACCTTTTTAAATTTTAACTAAGAGGTTTTGTTGTAGCCACCATATTTTTCGGACTTTGGGCCAGCGGATTTTCATTCTTTCTGTTCACTGGGCAACAACGGGTTCTAAACGGTGCATTTGACCGTGACGCTTGGCTTACGTCAGCCCGGGAACCCGCCTGTTGGCCCAGAAGTAGAATAGAAGTCGACGCATGATTGGATAACATATACCTGTTTTCTCACCGCTGCTGCTGCGATTTTCATCAGGCCCTGGAACGTTTTATCCTTTAGGCGACATCAACTTCATGGCCTTAACTTCAACACGGATCAAGAACTCAAAAGGCGGTTCAAAAACTCCGAGACGAAACCCCCTATTTTTTAGCGAGATGGCATACGTAATTTCGTGGAAAGATGAGACAAAATCGTGAAAAATGATTGGGAATATGTACCATAATAACTTATTGTTAGAGAAATACTAAGATGTTGTGTTCTCTATTCAGTAAAAAAAAGCGCGGGAATTTTCTTTCCAACCAAATATATCGTAGACACGAACCATTTCCTAATGGTTGTAAAATTCACTCTATTTCGGCTTTTTTCCTTCCCTTTTTCCATTTTCAGGCGCTACGCGAGGTCATTCCACATGTGGCGATGGAGCGCAAGCTGTCCAAGATTGAGACGCTTACCCTTGCCAAGAACTATATCATGGCATTGACAAACGTCATATGCGATATCCGCGGCGACGAGCGACCCTACCAATTCTGCGAGGCGGATGCTACCCTCGAAGGAGGTGCCGATAACACTTACCGAGGTCTCAATGTGGTGGGCATTTGCAGAAACCAGAATCCGGTGCCTGACGCCAGCCAGATGATTAGCCTGCCGACCGTCAGCGGTTTAAGCTCGTTGCAAACGCTTCCGCCGCTAAATGGGCCCAGCGCCGAACTACTCGGCTTCGGCACCCGGCGAGATCTCGGCCCAGCGGATATCAGCGGCACAACGGGCCTAACGCCTTGCTCACTAACGGACGATGTTGCACCAGATCAACTCGAGTGGTAATCACCTTTTTTGCATCCCGCACTTGTGTTCCACGCGTCACGTCGCCAAAGCACAGATAGTATAATAGTTGTCGCCGCTATCTGCTACAGTTAATACATTAATAACACCGCAACAGAAACAATGACATTAAACGGGTTAGCAGCCATTGTTCGCTACCATCGTCGTCACCAAGACTCGAGCTGCTTGTTATTTCAACGTGACTACAGCGTGTAACGAACGCGATGAAGCCCACATACTAAAACAAGTCCACGGCGTGGGTACCAGCAGGAACGGCAACGGCGCCAGTAGGAACTTCAAATGGACGTAGAGACATCGTGAGAATCACACAACTGAACGCCAACTAAGAACCTAAGTTTTCGTTGTCCTCTCATAACAGTACACGTATGCACATTTCTGTTTTGTCTATTGTCTCATACGAGTGGCGGTCAGAAGCGATTCTCGTAAACATAGAGTGCATATAGAAATAAACAAGTGGTTGCGAAGCACTAGATATAAACAAAGCATTGGTCCAATTGCATCAATTGGGCACTGACCGGCCGGAGCTGAAAAATCAACCGAGCAATCTGCCTGCCACCTAACAATCACTGTAGGAACGACGAAAAGCGATATATCCTTGGCAAGCAATACGCCGACCGCAATGGCCACTAAGAACTAAGATTGTTTATGCGAAACATGGGACAGGAAATGGTAAAGCTGAAATAAGCATGATTGGATGTCACTTAGTCGGAGTCTGGGGGTAGCGCGAACAAGATAATGAGCCTGCGGCGCGCCAACTCGAAGATGGGCCTGCAACATACTTTCGCAAATAGGGTTTTCAGGGTCAATTTCATGTATATAACAAACTTATCTTTAGATGAATGCGTACCAAAATAGGATACCGATAAATAAGACGGCCGTATGAAGCCAGTGAAGGTGATCATAAAACTAATTAACAGGTGCATGTACGATAATATATAGAATATTAAAGACCGATAACGAAAAGGTGCAAGGTTTTAATCCAACTAACAGAAACAAAGGAGCACGATGGGTAAAGATAGAAAAAGGGCAAGGCAAACGAATATAATAGTTGATAAGTATACGGTGTCGCAGAAACATAACAGAAAGAAGTGTTGTTAGTAAATAGAAAAGATAGCGCGTGGTTATACCATTGGCTAACTAGCAGAGCTGCAAGGATGTTAAAAAACTAACCAGGTCCCCTGTAGCACGATAGTTCATTTTTGCTTGTCGCAACGTGGCCCAACGCAAGTGGCAAGAGCAAGGCAAAAAAAAAGCAACGATCTGTTGTTGCCAGCAGCCATGTTAACAAATGAGGGTATATTGATCTTTGACTGCTGTCTATCAGTAGCCGGTGCTTGAGAAGCTTAGGTTTACGAGGAATGTGAATATACAGCCTCTTAAATAGGAGTACGAGCTCTAATGGGAATTTATCGACTAGGGAGACCGAGCTGCTTTTTTTTTGCAACGAATTGCAAAAAAGCTAAAGCAGCTTAGCCGAAAGACAAGCACATGCTAATTTCATGAAAAGGCGGGATGAATGCAAATGTAGTATATATTGAAACTAATGGAACAGTGGTCTGCAAGGAAAACGAGTACTACCGCAAAATGTACTATCACGATATTATAAGTACAGATACTATATCACATACAATATCAAACGATCGCAACATTATATATACAGAGAGTGAGGGAGAGAGAACGATGCAGTAGTATCAGTTAGTACGGGTACAGTTCCCGTTTTGTCATCATGTTTAGGTACTCTCCCTTACACGATGGCCTATCCAATATGATCCAATCGTCGTGGCACTTTCCACTCCGTTACACTCCTATAATCTATATCATCCATCATAACCTGTCATAGTTGTCGTTACGACAAAATGACTTTCTCTGCCGACCCGTGCCGACGCTGACAATTGCAATTATGTTTAATTATCACGTCGGAGTGACGATTCAGAGCACCGCTGCGCGAATCTTTAGCAACAGTTGGACTCTGGTAGGACATAGTTTGACATGGCCACTACAGGGCCATAATCCCAATTTGTTGTTGTCCTTTTCCTTACGTTCGTCTCACTTAATGACAAGGCAAATCGAGGAATCCAAGCTTGATTTAATGTCGAGCCTTTTTAAGGTTAGCTTTCAGCTGCCCCTTCCTCTCTAAACACCTGCAATTTAACCGTAGCGTAGTTATGCGGCAGTGAAATATTGCGGTTTGGAAAAACCAAAATATCCAGGCTACGCATATCGCACCAAACAGATGAATAATGGCGCGAGAGCCACATGAAACGAGACAACCCGAAACGGTTTGTTGTCTATTGTAAGACCAAATATCAATTTGCTCCCATTTCTAAAGGTACTGTTATAAAAAAATTATGATGTTTACTCCTTGACGCCTTAGGCTAATAAGTGTGATACCGGTGATGACACAAACACAAGCCAAAAAATGTATGGACTGAGACTTTTATCTGCTAGCACTTTAAACTAGCACTACATATTTCAACTTGTTGAACTTGACATAAAGCTCGAGACCTATCGATCCTAAATATGCTCACGCTTTATGCTGATTGTCTGTTATCTTAGGCGACAAAAAAACGTTAAACTTTCGGCCAACTCTCATTTGTGCATTAACAAACGTTGTCGTTTCTATCCACGAGGGTTCGGTTTGGTAAGCTAATATCTTCAGGCTCCATTCGTAAATCACTGGTTACGTATTAGTTACGGTGATGATTGTCGCCAGAAATGCGCATTAACGTACATTTCATTGAGTACATACGAAAAGACGTGATCCTATGGGCATTTATTCGAAAAAAAGGTTGACATTTAAACAATGGCGGTCATCAACAAACTTAAGTTTTTGCTTTCATCACCCATCTGACGCATCCGGCGTAGCCGAATAATACGATACCCTCCTGACGGAAGAGATGTTATAGATAGAATCAATGAAATCAGGCTTGCTGTAGGATAGCCAACAGAGGTCGTGCAAGCAAGATAAGACCAATGCGTAAATTTGCGCGCGCATCATTTGCATGAGTGTAAAATTCGACCCAACGAAAGATGACGAAGTCTGATCTGAGGGCAAGAAGCTGTGGCCTGTTTACAAGCTAGTACTAGTGATTGTTAAAAACAGAGGGTATGGCGATTTAGCGATTATATATAGAAGATGAGTCAGGAAAAAGGCAGACAGATAAGACATCGACAAAGGTAACAATTATCCCAGACAAAGCTCGAAGCAAAGATGATTTTGAAGAATATGAAGACAAACAGTGTTGTACAAACTAGTCTCCCAGTCTATGATATGTGCGGTAGAATAGAAATTCGATAGAGCTTAACTCTATATGAAGACTCGTACTGCGAGAAGGCTAATATAGAAGTGACGATGCAAAAACGTGAGGGCAGTCGTATATACCCTGATCTATTCTGCCCGGAGCGCAGCCGCCCTTCTAACTCACACGCTAAGAGAACCGGACAACAATACATACACTATGTATATCTATACAATAGAGAATATATACAGGAAAAAAAAAGAAAAAAAAATAAAAATATATATATATATATATATATATAGAAAGAAGGAAAGAAAGAGAAAGAGTGCAGGCGAAAAATTATAGTCAAGCAGAAGTAAGAGAACAGAAAATGAAAACGCAGTTTCGGTGCAGCTTTATTCGTGCGCGCTCCTTACTGCGCAGCTGTTCTTCGAAAGATAGGCAGAACAGAAAATCGTGAACGGAGAGGAGCTGCCGGCCAATGCGTCGAGATGGGCGTCAGAAAGTGTGCATCACGAACGGATAGTTCACCAAGTTACTTGACTATCTCGGGTCTCGCTGTTAATTGTAGTGGATTATAGAGGGCGTAGCAAACTTTAAAGAAAAAGCAAAAACGAAAACCGAATACTGTAGAGTACAGGGTGGTCGGTGTCTAGTCAGGCAAAAGTTAGATGAAACGACGTTAATAACTTCAACGTCAAATAGAACCATATCCTGATGCTGATTATGAAAAGCGACAAGTAACAAGTAAATAAAACAAAGCTACAACAATATATATATATATAAAATAATATAATATATATATTTTATATATACATATATAAAATCACAGTTAGAGATGAAAAAATCGAGTAGAAACATAATAAAATAAAGCATATATAAGCATAAAATAATAAAATGACGCGACGTCAATCGTGCACAACGCAGCGATAAGCTGTCCATAAAGAGAGCTATATATATACATACATACATACATAAATGTGACTAGCCAAATTAAGGTCGCTTCGAGTCCACTTTGAGACAGGCCGACGATGATATGATAAGCTTCTCGGGATATTTGTACACGATTCAATACACTCTGTACGAATGTTCACCATTATAAGGCTGGGCTAAAGCAGTTCCAAGCTAGTTAGGAGTCGAATGCTGCTTTGAAGTATGCAGAATTAAAGCTGAAATTCTCTAACGTGTAAAAATGAGCATCCAATGATATTTTCTTTAGAAATTAGAAGTTTCAACTTAGCTAAGTGCGATTTCAGAGACTTTAGATCAGCTGTGTTATACATATTGCCGTTATTGCAAGCGTGTATTTGCATGTATAGAAAACAATCAAAAATCTGATTATTATTAAGTCAAGAGTATCCACATATTTGATCAGTGTCGATAATCATATTAAACTCGTCGAACGGAGGCCGGCAAGTGGCTGGCCTTCTGCCTGTTTGAAAGTTTCGATTTTTTATAAATCATGTCTATGTCGCTCCGTTCTGCCGTAGACTCCGTTTGAAAATACTGCTTCTCTGACCTTGCCGAGTTCTGGCACGTGAACCGCTCGCCTGGCCAACAATCTTGATTTTGCGATATCCTCAATAGCGACATACGTGTATATTCTAATGAGCCGCTAATTGTGACGAGGAATACAGACACGTATATACGTTCCGAATCGCAGAACGCATTATCACTAACTTGAACTTGTCGAAGCGTACGATTCTGCGCCGAGAACAAGAACAGGCATCATGTCGTGCCTGAGGTAACGTTCGCCAATTCGTTGCTCTTTCTTTGCTTATTTCTGTTTTTTCGTTAGCTTTCGCGCGAGCGGGATATAATGTAAAGTAATGATCTCAGCGTAGACGGTTTGCCCTATTAGATCATGGCATTAACGAGTAACTAACTAAAAATCGCTAGCATGTTAACCCCTTCGCATTTTGGCCGTTTCCGCTAACAGCTTACATATCAGGAACGGCTGACACTGCTAAGCTAAAACGATACAGTGCATAAGAGGAACTTTTTGTCTAATCCTAAAGCACCACAGTATTCGTTAAGTTTATATGGACCGCATATTAGCTTCGTCGGACGGAGTCGTTCTGTTTAAGTTCATTCAAGTTCGAACTCGTCTAGCTGCTGTGCTGCCTTGACCGTCCTCGGCGCCTCAATCTGGCTAGACATTTGTCCGATGATTCCAGCTTTCGTTTTTCCTGAGTGGTGTGAAACACCCATCAGTTTTGGCAGTCGGTAGAGAAAGGAACGTAAAGATTACATATAATAACGGCGCCGACAAGGCGGTCGGATTAGTCGGATGCGCATAAATGGAAACAAGGATAACATGACGAGAGTTTCGTCAGGAGTAACCGTCCTACTAGCTAGCACCAGGCGATGGCAGACAACGAGTCATTCAACTCAAACATTACAATCTGACTAATTGAAACGCCGGAACAATTGAGGTGTCGCGAAAAGTAAACAGCAATTACAGAAGACACAACAGAACAAAGTCGACTCCTGTGTATTACATCCTTGTCCATATACCATTTGCGGAACCAACAGGACGAAAACGTAATCTAGAGCTGACTATCGCTGACGAAACAAAATCCGATCGACACCGCGTCGGCAACGAATTCGTTGGAATAACATCAACAACAAAGTCAGTAAACCGGAGTGCTCGACTGTGCTATCCAGTGCCGCGTACGACTAGGTAGGCCATCGATACGATTACGGTACGATTATGACACAGACAACGTTACTACAGACAGCAGGTGGCTACATCCAGCGATTGATGTTAACGACAACAAATATACATATATATATATATATATATATATATATATATATATATAGGCTGCTTCGTCTAACCCGTAAGCAAGCCTGCTAGCATATGATACCCGATTTTTGTACCGCTATTCTATGAGAGCGGAACAACAATAGATAACTTGTCAATAACTGAAGCCATAATCTGCTAAATTTATGGCCTCGAAACGCTATCGAGAGTATTAATCGCTATCGAGAGTATTAATCGAAATATACC